GAAGTCTGAGTTTGTGCCTTGCTTAAATGTCTTCTCATTTTTGTTTTTGGTACTGTCCTTGGTTTAATTCCTGGGTTGATAGTTTGAAATTGCTTATTGTAAGTATCTTTGTTCCTTGTAATTAGAACCCTCATGGAATGGTTGCTTCTCAGGGGTGTCTTCCAGATACAGCTGGTCCTTAGGTTTTGAGTCTCTAGTGACTCTGAGGCTACCTCATTTTCATTATACCAGGAAGGACCACTGACTAGATCAATTACAACACCTTAGCCCAAGTGATACAATCAGCAACACCATAGCATGAAGTACATCTTAGAAAATGCCAAGTTGTGAAAGCTATTAATCTATCACCTTTAACTGTGTGAATTAAATCAAAATTGAGGACCAACCCAACATATGTTTATAGTGAATAAACTCTTCAATATAGCAATTTTACCCTTCGGGATGGGGAGTTAGAAGGAGTTGGGGAGGGAGGGATAGGTAGAAGGATAGGCGAAGGTTAGCAGTGAGGCCAGAGGACACAGGCGAAAGAAGGAAAAAGAGAATAAAAGGAAAATAAAGGAGAAATCCGAATTAGGGCCAGAACAGAAACAAAACGGAGTTGAAGAACAATGTGGGACAGCAAGAGAGTGAGTGTGAGAGAGAGAAAAAGGAAAGAGAAAAGAAAGAAAAAAAAGAAGAGAAAAATAAAAATTTGAAAAGATAGGGAAAAAAATTAAAAATAAGAGCAAAAAACCCCCTCCAATAATAATAATTTTGGAAATAAAAAATAAAATGAAAATGAAGGGCCTCCTTCAGAGTGTGTCTATGCTGTCACAATAGACAACGTGGTTAGCAGTGTGGCAATATAAGTCAATTAGTCTCAGCAAGCCAGTCGCAGACCCATGGGATTCAGGCAGATTTATGGTGGCAAGTCCCAGGTTGAGCTCCTTGTCCTCCTGTAGGGTTGAACTCTGCATGGTTGTACTACAGGTTCCAGTTGCCCTTCCCCTGAAGATAGTCCAGGTTCCGATGGTAGGTGATGATCCCTCTAACTTACCCAGTACAGTAGTCTGGTTTCCCGGGTCTTTGTAGTGTGGAACCAGGTAGTGGTCCAGCCAAGAGGCTAGAGGTGTGTGTGTTGGGGGGAGGTCCTGCAGGCTACTGTGTGGCTAAGTGGATTGCCAGTGTGGGAGTGGCCAGTGGTGAGGGGTCCTCACCTTCTGGCTGGTCCCTGCCAGTTTGCTTGGCTCAGGCTGAATGGGGCAAGACTCCCACCAACTCAGTACCTCTCTCTCCAGTACCCCGCATGTGTGCTTGGTGTGGGCTGGATCCCATTGTGGATTTTTGATGTTATTTCCTGTGGAATCAAGGTTCTGTTTAGAAAATCCTTGCTTATGCCTATTTTTTAAAAGGGTTTTACTTATTTTATCTTTCATAGATTGTTTCTGTTAGATCTTTGATCCATTTTTATTTTAGTTTAGTACATAGTGAGAGATATGTGTCTAGATTCGATCTTCCGCATGGTATAACCAGTTTTCCCAGCATCATTTCTTCAAAGGACTTTCTTTCTTCCAGCATATGTTTTTGGCCCCTTTGTCAAAAGATCAGGTGGCTGAATGTGCCTGAGCTTGTTTCTGCATCCATTATTCTGTTCCATTGGTCCATGTGTCTGTTTTTGTAACATGCCATTTCATAACATTGGGAACATGCTGTTTTTATCACTGTAGCTTTATAATATAACTTGAAGTCCAGGATCATGATGCCTCCAGTTTTACTTTTGTTGCCTAGGATGGCTTTTGCCATTCTGGGTTTCTTCTGGCTCCATATGAATTCTAGGATTATTTCTCTAGTTCTGTAGGTATGTTGACTGGGATTGCATTAAATCTGTATACCAGTTTTGAAAGTGTGGCCATTTTGACAGTATTCATTCTGCCAACCCAGAACCAATAGGGGATATCTTTCCATTTTATGATGCCCTGTTTGACCTTTTTCAGATACTGTAGTACAGAATGGTTTTTTCCATTGTTTGAATGATGGGATAATTGAATTTAGAAAAAATTCATAATGACAGTCTAAAAGTTTAAAAGAATACTGTATAGTAATTTCATCCATATGTATCCCAACAGAAAGTTTTAAAAAATGTACACATATATAGTGATATGATACAGAAATTATATTGTGTAGCTTGTGTCAATTTTCCATAATTTCTGTTTTCATAGTAAGCGAGGTTTCTCAAATCATGTAATTCTGTAAGAATTTTACATGATAAAAAGACAACAACTCTTGATACTAGCATAGTGTTGCTATGCTGATTAGCAATATCATTTTAAAGGATTGCTTCAGACTTTCCTTAGATTCAGGAACTGTTGCTTAATGTTACTTTTAGATTAAATGTTTCTGTTTGATCTGTTGTTCAATGTTAATTTTATTTAATTGAACCATTTCAGTGTATCCTATAAATGTTAGAGATTTAATTTTTAACCTTAAATATTGTTTATAAAAAGTGTTTAGAATAGAATGGTTAAGCATGACTAAAGACTTGTTGAATTCTTCACACATTCTTCATCCCTTAATGACCTTTACCTTGGCATATTCATAGGAATCGTCAGTTGGAAGGCATCTCAGTGGTAGCACAGCAGTTTCATGAAACTTTAGAACCACTGAATGAGTGGCTCACCACCATAGAAAAGAGACTGGCAAATTGTGAACCCATAGGAACCCAAGCATCTAAACTTGAGGAACAGATTGCTCAGCACAAAGTAAGCTATAAATCACACATCAGTAAGACTCATTTCCATTTATTTCATGGTCTTGTGACATAAATTTGAGTTATGTACTATTGTTATGTTATATGTACTTGCAAAGTAAATCCATTTCAGATGTCATCGTTTCATGCTATTTATTTGTCATCTTTATTTCTCCATTCTTTTTTGTTTTTCTTCTTTTTTTTAAAACCCTGTGTAGGCCCTAGAAGATGACATCATCAGTCACAGTAAACACTTACACCAGGCTGTTAGCATTGGCCAGTCCTTAAAGGTTTTGAGCTCCAGGGAGGATAAAGATATGGTGCAGAATAAATTAAATTGCTCTCAAGTGTGGTACATTGAGATTCAAGAGAAAAGTCTCAGCAGGTCTGAGCTCCTCCAGCAGGCCCTGTGTAATACTAAGATTTTTGGGGAAGATGAAGTTGAGCTGATGACCTGGCTGAATGAAGTGCATGACAAACTGAGCAAGTTCTCAGTCCAAGATTACAGCCCTGAGGGGCTCTGGGAGCAGCAGGCTGAACTGCGGGTATTTTGATTTATTTCATTTCATTTTATTTTATTCATTTTAGTTGTCATTGTTTTATTAACATTCCTTATTTTTGCTTGTTTTATGTCCATTATGATTTGGATAATAGATTATACTCAAAAAGGCTTTGCTTGTTTATACAAGATACTTTTAATGAAGTCACTTCTAAATGAGATCGAATTTATACAATTAGCTGGACCTTTCACTTTTCATTTTGTTGTTTTAATGTTGTCTACAAAGATCCATAATTAACCAGTGCCTCTACATAACCAGTTCTCATATATTCCTAAGTATTTTCCAAAAAGCAGACTGCTGTGAATTATGGTAGTTGAGCATGGGACATTGGGCACAGTGGTAAAAAGAAAAGACAAACATATGAGAACAGTGAATGTTTGAAAATGTGAGATACTTACTCAAATATTTTATCTCTGAAGCCTAATTAATCTGAGATTTAATTTTTCTTCCTTACACAAAAATGGTGCTTGTATTTTTAGGTTCTACAAGAGGACATACTACTCAGAAAACAAAATGTAGATCAGGCATTACTCAATGGCTTAGAACTTCTTAAACAAACCACAGGTGAGATATCTTTTTAATCAAAGGATCGTGCAGTCATCATTTTGCATTGCTTTCAAAATATTTTAGGGATGGGAAAAAGACAAAACATTTTATAATTTTTAAGTCCATTCCCATTTTTCATTGTGAAGAATGTTTTGAAGATCAATCAAGAGGGGTTTAATAATATGATCTCACTCTTTTCTCATGATCTCACTCGAGTTCCCAATGGACATTGTTATACATTACTCATAACCTGAAGCACTTTGGCACAGGATCTGGTCGGTGAAGCCCGTGATGGAGTTACATTAGTTTTCCACTTGAGGAAGGCAGATGAACACGGAGGTTGCAGACAGTTTTCTTTTAGGGTAGATTGCATGGCGGTGACACATGTTATGGCAATTCACAGGCTTCGTTTCTCCACACCCGAAGCACTGAAAAAACAGATACTTGGTATAATGGATGTATGAACTATTTTTAGAGTATCTCAGAAAAACTAACTTGTTTTAGTGGTTCTTTTGGCCATAGGAAGATGTCATTTATTGAACCTATATCCAGTTTAGCAACATGAGTGTATGGAGAGCAGTTACCATTCACTATGAGTTGGAAGAATGCAGTATAGTATCCAGGGCCTTAAACTAGAAGCCCGAAGCCCAGGACTCAATTTCTGTGTGTCTGAAAAAGAGGGAAGGGACAGTAAGGATCTGCTGGAATGGGGCAGATGAGTCATGATGACCTACTAAGAGCACAGAGAAGTTAAGTAACTTGCTCAGGATAAGCCAGCATCTAAGTCATGAAGTCAGTGACCTTAATCCAGGTATTATACCCTCTGCTTTGAAAACTGAACGTGTCAAAGGATAGATTTAAAGGTTCTACTTTCTTTATAGCTAAAGTCTTTTCTCAAAACTATAGCCTTTCTCTGTTTTTGCATTGTATTTTAGAGCTGATTAAATTTGTCAGAAATCCTGGGAATGATGAAAACCTAAGTGAGAGCTTCTCCTGGGTCAGGTCATTTTTAGAAAAATGTGTCTCTTTTTTCCCAAGAAAAATTCATCAGTGTTCATTAATAAGATTTCTTTATAGAAACTGTCCTCCTGTTTTTTCTTTTCTTTTTCTAAGAAATAACATATTGTTGAAATTTTAGGTGACGAAGTTTTAATAATTCAAGATAAGTTGGAAGCCATTAAAGCAAGGTACAAAGACATTACCGAACTGAGCACTGATGTTGCCAAGACTCTGGAGCAGGTGCTGCAGCTCTCAGGGCGGCTTCACTCCACGCACGAGGAGCTGTGTACCTGGCTGGACAAAGTGGAGATGGAATTACTCTCTTACGAGACACAGGTTCTGAAAGGAGAAGCAGCAAGCCAAGCATACATGAGACAGAAGGTATGCCTGATTTATACACGTTGTGTCCATTCATTCTTTTACAGGGAATTGTAGTCCACACAGGAACAAAATTGTATTTGCCTTGTGTCGTCACTAACATGCTGGAGGATGCCGTAATGGGCCGGACTCAACAGAAATGGGCAGCATATCAGCTATTTAAACTTTTAGGAACCTAGAAATAAAATGTTTATTATTTGTTTCAAGTCTTATGTTTGGAAGTATAGCCTACCACACAAAAGACAGAATGATGAAAACAGGAAAAGGTAGAAAAGTATCACTGTTTTAGAGGCACATGTGATTTGGTTGGAATAACAGCATTTCTTTCATAAAGATGTGTAGCACAGTGTGGGTTTTCTGATTGTAGCATAAAAGTGGAATACTGCCTTGCTGATAATTCTTCAGAGATACCAACCTTCAACAGTATGATCAATTGTGGGCGAAAGGGAGTCGATGAGCTCAGGCTCCCCAAGCCTGAGAGGGGTCAGCCAAATGATTTAATACTAGTATGTCTTCATTTTAAAGGTCATTTAATTCTGACTTGTAATAGCTTTTTCTTTTTTTTTTCTGTTCTTTGATTACATAGAGGTTCCCAGAAGGCAAAGAATAATATAGGATAACTTGCTTGGTTTTGCTTTACAAATTTTAAATGTTTATTTTAATTTTTGAAGCTAAAATCTTGCCACATAGACAAATGAATTGTTCTGGAAAATTCTCCTTTTTGAAAATAATTTTAGATAACAGAAGTTTGTTTAACTGAACTGAACCTCTTAGGGGCCAAAGCCTGGCCTTATTGGCAAGCAAAGGACTATAGCGCCAAGTACAGTTATGAAACTGTTACCCATATTTGTGTTTTCAGGAGCTGAAAAGGGAAGCTAAGAACAACAAAGCCTTGTTGGATTCCCTTAATGAAGTGAGCAGTGCTTTGCTGGAACTGGTGCCATGGAGGGCCAGAGAAGGACTGGGGAAGATGGTGGCCGAAGACAATAAACGCTACCGATTAGTGAGCGATACCATCACTCAGAAGGTGGAGGAGATTGATGCTGCCATTCTGCGATCACAGCAGGTGGAGACAAGTGGTTCATTGTTTAGGCAGTAAATTTTCTCCAGCTGTTCCTGAAGCCTTTACCTGAACAAAGATGTCTGTTAATAATACTTCCATTCATTTGTTATACTTCAAAAATGAAAGGGTGGATTTGAATAGAGTTTGACTAGGCTACATTTGAGTCTAAGGCAAGGCAAATCTGTATGTTGTTAACTGCCATCTGCCCATTGCTTCCCAGTCTTTCCTTACAAGTCAGACACTGGGAAGATCGGCCCTGCTTTCCAAACAAAATGCTTCTGTCTGCATATATACACATTGCTAATATTAATGTTATGCCTCAAATAAGCCTAAATCTTTTTGTAAATATTTTGGCTTGGTATGTAAGTCAGTATTAGCTGTTCATTTACATACAGCTCTTTCAAAGAGAAAGTATTCTTTCTTAAAAGCAGTTTTGTTGGTGACGTGGAGTTTTTTCCAAAGATGACTGAAGGGGAAAATATTACAGTTTCTGACCTGCCTGTGTCTCCACCAGAGTTTATACTTCAGAGTTTTATAGACACCCTGTTCTTAGCCACAGCCCCACAGACAGTGGTGGGCAGTGAGTGAGTGGGGCCCTGGAAATAAACACTTGACTGACTTTTTGTGGAAGTCTCTGTGCCTGTTTACCTTAAGTCAGCAGGCTCTGATTCAGGACTTTGTGGGTGGAGATTAGAAGGTACTGCAGGATACTTGGGAGCACATCTTGGAAGGTATGTGACTAAGCTTTTACTAATGCAAGACAAAAACAAGAAACAGAAATCAAACAGATTCTTTAGGAGCATCCAAAATTAATTTTCTAACATTACCATAAAAGTGTAATTTATATGGTTCTGAAGCATAATGTTACACTCCTCATTTTAGTACTGTGCTCTAGAATCACAAAGCTGATGGAATACAATGATAACAAAAGCCTTGCCTAAGAAATTTTTGTGAGGGAGGGCACTCATGCCTGAGGAATGTGTTTTCCTGGCTGTTTTTAAAGTTTGGAGGAATTTGTATGCCTCATTATTACAGCAGAGTAAGTGTGTTTGTTTGTGAAGTTTATTCCACTATTTAAAAACACTGAATTTTTTTTCACTGAAATTTATTTGAACATTTCAAAATTGGCACTGAATACTGCTCTAAACAGTAAGACAAATATTCTGTACTCTTGGGAATAGGATTTTCTTGAGAAGTTGATTATGTTAGCTCAGTGAAGGGAGACAGGAGTAAGGGCAGGGTCTCAGCTTGAATTAGTATTGGTTAGTATGCTCTGATACCTGCCAAGGTCATTAGCTGTAGCAGAGTTCTGTTCAAGGATTTAAAGATGTTTTCCAGAGTTAAAAAAAAAAAGTTGAGCAGGTCAGTGTAAGTCTTGTAGCACCTTGAATATAAGTAAGTCCCCAACTTAGGGACAAGTTTCTTTTCAGGGGAGTGTTTGTAAGTCAGATTCATTCATATCTGGCAAAGTGAGTCTACACTGTACACACGTGAAAGTTTGCAACTCAAATGGTCCAAAGTTGGGAACTTAGTATATATCCTTTAGGAAAAGTGTGTGTGTGTATGTATGTTTTACTGATGAAATCATTCCATATAGAAAATACTGAGTTTTTTTTCCTAAGAATACACAAAAATGCACCAAAAACTCTGTAAGAATTTTGGGCTATAATCAGTGGTGGTGGAACTGGTATTCGTGCTGCAGTGAGCTATTTGTTGTCCTTGAAAGCTCTAAAATGTTCACCATCACTGGCTATATCCTTCTATGAAGGAGAGAGAGAGAGAGAGCAAAAGAGAGAAAGGAAGGTTATCACACTAGTAGTTCATAGAACTACTGTGAATGCCAGTACTATCTTCTGGTTGTTCTCATGCATTTTTGCATTTTCTTTCTTTTTTTTTTTTTTTTGGTACCAGGGATCGAACTCGGGACCTTGCACTTGCAAGGCAGGTGCGGTGCCATGGAGCTAAATTCCTGGCCCTGTTCATCTGCGTTTTTACCTGCATTCCTTTGGAACATCTGCAAGGCTGCACAGTGAATACCTCCAATAGGGTGGAAAGGACACACAAGTATTTAAATCAAGATAACATGTGCAGTGTGCCATAAGTGGTAAAACCACTTGCTTGTGGTCCCTACAGCTAGGAAGTATCAGAGCTACAACTAGAATTTAACCTAGATCTCACCTACCTCACTATGGTGCTTCCCTGTAATTAACATAGAAAGGAAAAATCTGGAGGAGTGATGTACTTCTAAATTTCTTCAGTAAAATGAAGAAAGTACCTTTATTAAAGCTAAATGAAAGTCTGTAGTGAAAATATTTCCAACTGTCAGGACTATGGAACATGAGAAATACAGCCCTAAAAGAATGATAAGACATCACTCTGGTAGATTTAAGAGCAGTGTAGGTACTTGTCTTTCTGGTTTAGCAGAGATTTAGTTTTGTACTTAAGAAATGTCTTAGAACTCATTCTTAAGAAATAAGCTTCAAAACTCATCATTTTCATGTTTATAAAGTAGCTAATATGTCACTGAAATTACTTTGTAAGCTTGCACAGAGTAATAGATATTAAGTAAGACCAGAATACAGTGTGATACAAGTGTTTATTTTCAAAATATGAAAGTAATGATGAAAAAAGCAGCCTTAGACTTCAGTGTTAATCACAGATTTTGAACTGTCTGCTTTATGTTATATAAACAAACAGCCATTCTGCACCTCTTCTCTATATGAAGTATGGACATGGGCTGGGCTCAGTTCATCTTTTCTTAGACACATCTTTAATAATATCCACTATTAACAGTGACCCTTCCCCAGGCTCCTACCCACCCCGTACAAGTGATTAAGTGAGGGGGTGTGCCTTGAACATTAATTGGTTATTTAAAAATCTATAAATTTAATGTTTTTGTCCCTGAATGACCTGAAAAATTTTACATGATTAAATGTTCTACATTTCAAACAAATGTCTGTTAAGATATTTCATATTTTGTCCAGTGTTACGGTTGTTTATATGTAGTTTACTTCTATTATAATGTTACAACTTTTTAGGGTTAAAAAAGTGCACTGTTATGAACTATTAAGCTACTATCTCAGAATGTATTGACTTGCAAACATCAACCTGGAGAATGCCAAAAAAAAAACCAACAAAGAAAAAACGTGGAAAAGGATTAAAGTTTAGAGGGAGAAGGAAAAGGGGTGAACAAATACACTTCTCATTTGCATTTACTCTATTTAAGTTCAGATTTGATATGTGTGCTAATCTTATATCACAAATAACAGTTTTGAAAAGACATGGAATTGAATTTTGACTCATAGGGGAAAACACAATATGTAAATTTGAGCAATGTTTCTAACGATTGGGAAAATAATTGAACAGCCTCCATTATGAGCAAATATGAGGACTATATGTCCTCAGTGTTACTAGTCAGTAAGTTCCCCCAAAACTGATTCTGCAGATTTCCACACAGTGGTATTTGAAGAAGATATTCTTGTTTAAAATAATTGGACCCGGGCCAGGGATTTAGCTCAGTAGTTTTGCTGCCTGCTGTGCAAGCGCAAGGACCCGAGTTCGATCCCCGGTACCAAAAAATAAAATAGAGTAAAATAATTGGACCCATTTATTATTTTTAGGAAAGAATCTGAGTGGAACAAGGCAACTTAGGATATGGTGATGTTGAGGTAGACTGCCTCCCTCTCATCATCCATGCTGTTATCTGAGTGAGAAACGGTACATGTTTTTGCATTAAGCAGTATATCTTTGTTGCTTTCTTTCTCTAATTGCAAATTTGACTAAAGGAGCCATGTAGAAATAGGTAAAGGCATTCTTGCCTAAAAGATCTCTACACTTGTATCCTGAGTTTAGTCCATGGTGGTTGTTCAGATTTAGAGCAGTTCATTGTCCTTTGCCTCTTATGAATGTACAGCCCTCAGAAGTTGCTCAGTTATTGTACCTCAGTTGGCTTAAGAATTTCAGTGACTCCATTAATCACAGTTTCTTTGTTTCTTTTTTTTTTTTCTGGTTCTGGGAATTGAACTCAGGATCTTGTGCTTGCCAGACAGGTGCAGTGCCTCTGAGCTAAGTTCCCAGCCCCCTGATTCTTGGCTTATGTAAGTGGGCCCCATAAAAACCTTGACAGGAAGGCCCAGAGTTGGTGCATCAGATGGAGTAAAATAAACAGATCACCAGGTCATCAGGAATCAGCCTTAGAGAAAAAATACTGTCTATTTATTTTAAAGATGCAGAATAAAACATCCCCTGTAGAAAAAGGATTTGTTTATTGTTTAGACTCTCCAAGTGTTGAGGATGAGAAGATAGGGTCCATGTTATGAATAATGAGTAACAAAATGGAAAGAAATGCTAATGAAAAGAAAGTGATGAGGTCCCCAGCCCAGGAAGGGAATAAAGAGTGTGTCCTCGAGCTAAGGCATGCTGGTCACTATCTTAAAAATCTCTTTCCACTCACGAGAAACTTTCTGGAAAAGTACAGTTTGTCAGAAGTTAGAGAAATATTTTACTTTGTTAAAACCTAGTACTTCATGATTGTTGTGAAACTTGAGCCAGTTTTAGTGAAACCACACAATTTGAATTCCCAAAGCTCAAGGCATATTCAAGCACAGGGAGCAAGAGTGGCACCCCTGAAACTAGGCTCCCGGATGGCATGTCCTGGCTGAGTAATCTTTGGCAAAATAGTTAGGTTTTCTTTACTTCAGATTTCCTGGCTGTCAGTGGAATTAATGGTAATACCAATATTATATATTTGTTGTCAGGATTAAAGGAGATACTGAATATGTTCAGTAGGGTGCTGGCCTGTTATTGAGTTTTTTTCAGGAACATTTAGAGATAGCTTCTTAGGGAGTCTTGCATTAACTTTTATAAAACTTTTGAAATGCTAATTTAACTGCAGTAGCTGTTACAGTGGCTAAAGGCACTGGTTAGACTACAGTGACTACCTATTAAAATAGTTTCCAAAATGGAAGTATGGGTGCCAAGATTATTGACAGTTTATTTGAAGTCAATCTTTGCTGCTCGTACAAGCATCCAAAATCATTAACATTTGGCCTAGTAATTTTTCTTTCCATGTTCCTTACATGTAAGTGTGAGCTGTTTTTACAGTCCATTAGAAATACATGGGTTAGCTCACCATTTGAATGAGTCACGGTTCTATGGCTGTTCTGTTGGTTGTGTAACAATAAATATTTGCTAATTTAATTTTTATAATTTCTCAGAAGGCAGAGCAAATATTTGATTAAAGAAACAGTGTTTGAGTTTCAGCTTTCCACTTGACAACCTAGATAGTATCATCATACTGGTGTTCATTGGGTACTCTTTTTTTTTTTGTACCGGGGATCGAACTCAGGACCTTGTACTTGGTGAGGCAGATGAGGCACCACTGAGGTAAATCATAGGCCCTCTTTTTTTTTAATGGGGGGAGAGACATTGTGTTAAACCAATATTAACACTTAAAAGCCTGACTTTCTTTATTAAGACTATCATATATATGTCATATTCTTAGCAGCTTCAGTACAAACAGATGAGGCGTTATGAGTCGCTTTATTTTCCCCTGGATCAGTAGAACAAATAATTCATGACTGTTAAATTTTATTTAGATATCTTGCAGGATTTATGCTCAAGTAGAAAAGCTTAGACTGTTTTCGTCAGTCTTAGACTCTTTTAGGTAAATCACTTAGTCAGGTTCTACTTCCAGCTGTTATATATGCCTTAAAAACCTGTAATCCACACTAAGCAGACGTTCACTTCTTTCTCTACATCTGAGGCTGCTAAATTAGTCTATGCAATGTTTTTCTTTTGTTTGCTTATTGATCAATAATTACTGAGTAGTTCCATTTGAAATGTAATAGCATCATAAAAATTACTGAAAGAGATTAAGATTACAGTTTTCAGAAAGTGTATTGTTTTCTTATAATTAAAGAAAGTCTGCCTAGACTCTTGACAAACATTAAAAAATAAATTATACCCCATGATGAGGGTACAGCAGAACCCTTCTTGTGGGTATGCGCAAATGAGTATATCCTATCTTAGAGAAATTTAAGAGAAAATGTGAGCAGGAACTTGCAGATCTTAGGTGACCCACAAAGCTGCTTTTCTTTTTCTTTTTTTAAATTAAACTTGTTTTAAGATTACTGAGATGCACAAATAGTTGTAAGATAAATGACTCAAAGAAACCCTGTTATACTTGTTTTACCCAGTGGTAACATCTTGCAGAATTATCGTGCTGTCTCACAGGCAGGGTGCTGACAGTGATGCAGTCAAGATATGCAACACTTGCATCACACAAAATCCCTGTTCTGCCCTTTTATAGCTACAGCCAGTCCTTTCCAACTCTATGCCTCCTGAGCCCCTGGCAACCATCAGTCTCTTCTCCATTTCTGTAATTTCATCATTTCAAGAATGTTGGAAAAAAAAGAATGTTTGAGTACTTTATCAGCCATGACTGCTGCTGCTTCTCCTTCTGAGACTCAAAGTGAATATTAGGCCTTTTATTATAATTCCATCGGTCCCCGAGGCTCTGTTAATTGGTTTCTTCGGTCTGTCTTCTGCTATTCAGTTTGGGTGATTTCTGCTATTTTGTTTTCTACTTCATTGATCTTTCTTGTGTCCTCTACATTAATTTTTATTTCAGTTCTGAAATTTCCATGAGGGATTTTCAGTGGCTGAGCTTTCTGATTTTTTATTTGTTTCAACCATGAATATTCAAAAATGCTCCATGAAGCATTAATTTCACCATGGGCTGCCTTAAAATCTTTGTCAGGTAATTCTAACATCTCTGCCATCTAGATATTGGCACCTATTTGATTAATTTCTTCAGGTCAGTTTGAGGTCTTCTGTTTCTTTTATAAGATGTTGGGAGTCTTGGATGTTAAACTTCCATTGGAACTGCTTTCTCTGATTCCACTCTGGTGGAAGAAGTTGGGAGGTGCCTCCTGGTGGAGAGAGAAGACCAGCTTTACCACCCAGCCTCTCAGCTTTTAAGAGAGGATGATGGCTGTGATTTCTGCTGAGCTAGCTTGTCACTCAGTCTCCGCTGACAACACAGCAAGCAAAAGTGGCCACAGTGAGGAGAGACTGAGCAGTGGTAGAAGTCCTGACTCCACCAGACTTCCTTTGACATTACCTCTGAGGAGAAGAGGTGGGAGTCCAGGCTCTACTCTTGATCTCCACAGCCAAGGGTATGGACTTCATTGTTAGTCTGTGAAGATGAAAGTTCTGGCTCCCAGTTTAGCCTTAGTGTCACCCTGAGGGATATTGGGAACCTTTTTATGGCCTCATGTAGCCCCTTATTCAGCCTTCTTGGCATGAGTATGAGTAGGCTCAGAGTTTTTTTTCTGTGGTGTTGGTTGGGGTAGAGTGGTTATTTTCTAAGTTTTCTGGCTAGGGTGCCCCTTTCCTTATCCTTTTGCTAGAGGCCAGGATTTTCTTGGGGCTTTGTCTGGGCTTACTGGTGTTAACTGGGTTGTCACTTCTCCATTACTGGAGTTAGGTGCAGTACAAAGGAAACCTAGACAACTCAGCAGTGTACACACTTCCTCAAGGTCCAAGGGCCACCACAGGCCTGCCTCCTCTCTCTGCTTTGCAAAATCTTCTTACGTATATTTTGTATGTAATGCGGAGTTTTTAGGTGTAGTTATCATGAGGAACTGAGAAAAGTTCATCTATTCCATTTTCCCATGAGTCTATACAATAGTATTCTATAGAGCTTTTAAAGTAGAAATTACTTTCTAATCTAGTTTCCTATCTCCTTCTCTTCCCTCACATAGTTGATTCCTCCACTCTCATCCTCCACTCTCATTTGGGTTTCCAGCTTTTCTTGACAAATTAGAAGTTTTGGCAGTACCAGACCTAAATACTTATAATATGCATTCCCCATTAATTCTTCCATTGTTAGTTACCATTTATCATCAGTGCTTATTCATCATTTGTCCACTTTATTCATCAGTGATAGCTGCTTACCCCAGAAAGGCATTGTGGTTTATCTAACACAAGGCATTGAACATGTTGAAAATAGTTGAAATGCCCTTTGACTTGGTAGTCACTTCTAGGAATCTACACTAAAACTAATGAGAGATGCCACCCGATTTATATATAAGGATATTCTACAGGTCTGTTTATATCATAACTGAAAAATACAGAGAGCTTAATGAAAATATTTAGGTATGCTAAATTACAATGGTGCTTTTTAAAATTCACATGTAAAAATATTATATGGGAAATGTTCATAATAAACTAAAAAGCAGGATATGAAGTGGTTTATCCAGTATTTTCCCAGATCTTTACAAGTCTCTCATAACTTTAGGAAGAAAACCCACTAAAATTCTAGCAATATTAACACCAGGTTTTAATTTTTAAATTTATTTTTTGTGCCTTGTGAATTTCTACTATGTCTATGAATTACTGGTGGGATCAGTAAAATAACATTTCTTAAAATATTTTTAAGACTGCTCTTGAAAATGTTTTCTGCCATTATTGAGATGTTTAAAAATTACACATGAATCATTTGGGTGTATACCCTGCATACATAGAGACATCTATCTACACATACATTTATGCACACATACATAATATAATTCATTCTTTTTCCTAGTAATCATGTGCTTTGATAGCAGAATATCACCTGCATGTCACGAGTTGAGTTGATAGGTAAGATAGATGGTTAAAGATTAGCTTTTTTTTTTTTCTAGCTT